TGGGTCGTCTTAGGAAGTCATAGCACTTGTTAGTCCCTTCTTGGTCTTCACGAGCTTTCCATCTTTGAAGAAGGGCTTCCGCTCCCCGGACACTCCCCGTCTTTTCCACCAAACCTTGCCGGATACCAAAGAGGGTTTTGAAGAGAGGTGAGTCATTTGTCTAATTTCCCAATCCCAGATGGATTTCCCCTCTAAATAGATATTGTGGATCCATTTGTGCCACAAGGTGTCCTTCTTTGCTTGCATGTTCCAAAGTGTCCGGGTGAGCAACGCTTGGTTCCACGCATTTAGGTCCTTTAGCCCTAACCCACCTTCTAACCGTGGCAAGCATACACTTTCCCAAGACACGGAAGCACTCTTCGAACCTCAAAGGAACTTTCGACATAGTTGGGTGATTTTTGTTCGAACTATGCCGGGCAAGTAGAAGATTCCCATCAAAAAATACACTATGCCTTGTATTACCGAGCGAAGAAGTTCCAATCTCCCGGCATATGAAAGTGTGTGCCCATTCCACCTACTAAGTTGCCCCTCTATTTGCTTAATCATATCATCAAAGAGCCTTCCGGTGATTCGTTCCGCAGAGAGGGGAATACCTAGGTAACGAAAAGGCATTGGCCCATATCTCAAGTTGGTGTTGTCAAGGATTGAATCACGAATATCAGTCTTGACCCCAGCCAGATAAATATTGGACTTCAGCACATTCATTCCAAGCCTTGATTTAGCTTCAAAGTCCTTAAGACAATCCATGAGAATTTGAATTGACGGAGGGTCTCCACGAGATAGAAGCATGAGGGAAAAATTCAAAATTAGTCCCACATATATAGGGGGTGACAATTTTGGTCCCGACGGATTGCACAAAATATGAATAGTCCCACAACTTTTAAAAAATGATCAAAAGTAGGACTTTTTCGCCGGAATTTACTATTTCCGGCCCGAAACACCACGTGGCGCACACGTGGCTTATTTTTTACACGCTAGCGCACACGTGGCTTAATTTTGAATTTTTTCCTAGATAGGGAATAATTCAAAACTAGTCCCACAAGTATAGAGGAGTGACATTTTTTGTCCCGATGGAATGCAGAAAATTCAAAACTAGTTCCACAACTTGTAAAAAAATATGAACACGTCGGATGCCACGTGGCGTTCCGGGCTGAAAATAGGAAATCCGGCGAAAAAGTCCTACTTTTGATCATTTTTTAAAAGTTGTGGGACTATTCATATTTTCTGCATTCCGTCGGGACCAAAATTGTCACCTCCTATACCTGTGAGACTAGTTTTGAAATTTTCCCGAGGCATGAGGTCATCGACGAAGGCAATGTGGGAGATTTTTAAATCCTCACACATCGGATGGTAGTTGAAGTTCGTGTTAGCTGTCGTGTTGCTCTTTATAAGCCAAGTGAGGTACTCCATACAGATCACGAAAAGGAAAGGTGACAGGGGGTCACCTTGCCTTAAACCACGAGCTCCTTTGAAGTGGCCTTTGAGGCTTCCATTAATAGATAGAGAATAGGACGGAGTAGTAACGCACTCCAGGACCTACCTAGTAAAGTCCGGAGGGAAGCCAAGACCATCAAGCATTTGCTTCAAGAACAACCACGAAATTGATTCGAACGCTTTTTGGAGGTCGATTTTGATAATACACCTCGACGAGACCCGTTTCCTCAAGTAGAGACGAAGCAGTTGCTGCATGAGGTGGATATTGTCCGTAATGCTCCTCCCTTTCACAAAGGCAGCTTGGGCCTCGTCAATGATAGAGCCTAGGACTCCTATAAGTCGATTAGCTAGGATTTTGGAGCATATCTTGTAAATCGTGTTGCAACACGCAATAGGCCGGAAGTCCGTGACTTGCGAGGAGTGCGAGGATTTCGGGACAAGCGTGAGGGCTGTGTGGTTACATTGCTTGAGGAGCAAGCCGGAACGAAAGAACTCCTGGATAGCCGCCACTACATCGGCCCCAATGATGGACCAACTCTTTAAAAAGAAAGTAGAGGTATAGCCATCCGTTCCCGGGGACTTACCACCGTCAATGTCTCTAAGTGTGTTCTTGATCTCATCCTCGCTGACCGGTGCAGTAAGGGCGCTACAGTTGTCTACTTCTACACATTGTCCCGACCAAAGTATTTGTAGATCAACATCCTCCATTTCAATTTCAGTCCCCAATAGAGATTCATAGTATTGAATAAACTCCTTTGCGACTTCCTCCGTGGATTCAGTGACGGTGCCATTAGCCCGATTAATCGAGGCGATGAAGTTTCTTTTTGAACGTTTTTTTACCAAGCCATGGTAGAACTTGGTGCACTTGTCTCCTTTGATTTGGAAGTTACATTTGGCCTTTTGTTGATAAAAGAGCTTCTCCGCTTTGGCCAATTTAAGAGCTTCAATTCTGAGCGAGGCCATCTTAGACTTGGTTTCTGAGTTGTCAGGTTGATCATGTAGTACTTGTTGAGCCGTCTTGAGGGCGTTTTTTGCTTCTTTGGCCCGGGAGGAGATATGCGAGAAGGCCTCCTCATTAAGAGCCTTGAGGGCGCTCTTAAGATTCTTCAAATTTGAGGCAAGGCGAAATTGCCTCGAGCCCCCTCCTCCTTGATTCCAAGTCCCTTGGACACTCGGCAAAAACTTCTCATGGGACGTCCACATATTAAAGAATCGCCACGGTGATCCACTAGTGCTTCGTGCCTCAAAGTTGGTAACTAAGCATGGAGAGTGATCGGAGATACCCGGTGCAAGGAAGGTCACATGCGCGAATAGATCGGTATTCTCCCATTGAGTATCCACCATAGCTCTATCAAGTTTTGACCAAACATGGTTGTTGGTCCAAGTGTGGTAAAAACCGCTTGAGGGTACATCCGACAATTCTAATTCATCACAAACTTCTATGAGATCCCTGGTGTCCCGGTTGGTGACCCTCTCGCCCCTAATTCTCTCTTCCGGTTTTAGAATGGCATTGAAGTCCCCAAAAAGCATCCAACACAAGGAGATCCTCCCTCGAGCAGCCCTAAGGTCATTCCATATCAATTTTCGATGCCCTCTCGTGTGGAGTCCATATATGAGGCTAACAATAAATGAGTGGTTGCTAACCTTACAATGGACCTTCGCAAATATGACTTGAGGCAAGGTTGCCTCCACTGTGATATCGACCTACTCGGGGTTCCATAGTAATGCAATGCGCCCACGGTCCGCAACATCAAAATTCTCACAAAATTCCCAACCCGGCAATCTTCTATCCACATAAAGCGCTAGCCGCCTAGCGTTGGTTTTCGTTTCCAGAAGACCCAAAATGTCTATGTTATTTCTTCGGATGAGGTTGATCACCTCATCTTGTTTTAGGGGCCCGTTAAAGCCCCTAATGTTCCATGAGGTAATAATCATTGAGAAGAGGAAGGGATACCCCCTTTCTTCACATTAGTACCTTTTCCTCCTTCATTTCTCCCACCCGGTTTTCTTCTTAATTTGGATTGTTGACCTGAAGGTGCGGTGGGTTGGCTCGCGGCTCCACTTCGAGTGAGTATCTTGTTGCGCTTGCCCACTACTTGGAAGGAGTCGTCCTCATCCAGTGGAGCGGTAATGGTTTGGGAGGAGGAGGAAGTGGTGTCCGTAGTAATGGTCGCCGCCCCTTTCCTTGTATCACCATTCTCCTCATTTGATTCTTCCTCTTTGTTTTGATTATGTTCCGCATCCTCCATCTCCTTGGGTTTGTCCATATCTCCTCCTTTAGGTTTCACGGTAGCTTCCTTTGATTTGTGTTCTACCATTTTCTTGGAGGTCATCAAGGAGTCATCCTTCTTCCTTTGCTCGGTTTCCTTGGGTTGGCGTTCCCCAGTCGGTTTCTTGCCCTCGGCCTTCTTCTCAAGATGGGCTTTGTACTTTCCACAATTTGTGGTTGAGTGGCCGATAAACTTGCAAAAGTCACAATACTGAGGAACATACTCATATTCTACCTTTTGCTCAAATTGAAACTCCCCTTTGGATGATATGGGAACTCTAAGAACTCTATCTTTTGAGAGGTCGAGTTCAACCAAAACCCTAGCGTAGTTGTGTCGCACCCGAGTTGCCGTGAGCTTATCGGTAGTGATGGGTTTGCCAACATAGGATGCAATCTTGCTAAGAGCCTAAGTGCTCCAACATTCCCTGGGTAGGAGGGGGATGTTGATCCAAACGGGGATGATTTTGATGTCATCTTCCCCGAATTGAAACCAATTAGGGAGTAATTTGATGATGAGCCTCGACCATAGATATTGTAGGGCCCCCCATGAAGCACTTTTGCTCTATCTTCTTCATTTTTGAACTTGAACACGATCCATCCATTGACATTGGGAACATATTCATATCGGACACCCCACGAGTTACATAGCTTCAATAATGCCTCCTTGCCTGGGTGTTTATGGGTAAGGTACCCGACAAGGCAAAAGCCCCATATGCTCGTTAAGTCCAATAGGTCATCTTCGTCTAGGTCCACCCCATTGTCCGGCGGTATGTAGTTCAATTTAAAGCCAAGAGAGGCCTTACGGTTGTCGGCAAAGAGGGCCGAGAATGGCCTCTTTAATGTGTCGGGATTATTTTGTGTCATTTTGTCGAGCACCTTGCGTTCGCCTTTTTTGGTTTGTGTAGTAGGCTTCTCTTGCAATTGTTGCTCCCCTCCATTAGCATCCTCATCTAAACCAATGTTGTCATTAGGTAAGGAAACATTAGAGCTCTCCCCCCTTACCTCCTTCCCCTTCGAAACACCATTGGTAGCGGCCTTAGAGGTTGAAGATGAAGCTTCCATTTCTGCTAAGTCTTGTTGCTTGTTCTCTGAGTCCTCTAGGGAGACATCATCATGTTCATTGGAGTTCCCGGAGCACTCTTCCTCCGTTAATTTCCGGTACTTGAGTTTTTTCTTATTTTTTCCCATGAAGACCGTGAGTTACTGCATTGACGGACTCAAGTTTGCTAACAGGAACAGTAAATCTCAATTCAATTGAGAAGCTTCGGCGTTTGTTAATTTCGGGATAGTGAGAGTGATGAAATCAGTTGAAAACAATGGATTGATGCTCAATGAAGAAGGTGCCGAGGGTTCCATAGAAGAGATTTTTTTTTTCTCTCTAACCTTCTTTTTAACATCAATCTAATTGAAATGGCTTACAATTGTGCTACCAGAGACTTGGAGAACCTGAAATGGCTTCTTTGCTATCGACATTTTTCTCACGTTTTTTGTAGCCTATATCGATAGTCACACTTATCTGCTAAGGGACAACCCGAAAAAGATAGCAATAAGGTGATATATACTTTCAGGTTCTGTAAGTTAAGCTTTGCAAATGAAGATAAGAAACTCACTGAATTCGTGTTCTTTACGTTATGTTCAGGTTCTGTATGCGGCATTGTATTTGTTGATTGTGATGCTGCCTACCACAGGTTATGGAGACCTGCATGCGGAGAGTCAGAGAGGGATGGTATTTGATATTTTATACGTGCTTTCAAACCTAGGATTGACTTCTTACATTATAGGCAAAATGGCGAACCTCGCAGTTCACTGGAGCTGCCGCACGAGCAGATTTGTATGATCTCTTTCCTTGATTCGATATCCTTTTACTCACAAAATGTATCGGGTACTAGTTTTCGAACAACAGCCCATTCGACTTGGTGGTGCAGAGGAAACATTATCGGTTGCTTTGGAATTTTCTAGAAGAAACCACTTGCCGAGCGATATTCAAGATCAGATTCTATCACATATGCCTCAAGTACAAACCACAAGGATTAAAGCAGCAGGAAACCATAAACAGCCTGCCCAAGGCCATTAGTTCGAGCATTTCGCATTATCTTTTTTACCATGTCGTAAAAAATGTTGATCTCTTTAGATAGACGTCTCGAGATATCCTTCTACAAATGGTACATTTCTTAATCATAGTCAGATTCTTTTGTTTATGTCTACTTTTTTTCACAATTATCGAGGTTTTGCATTAACGGAAGGTTCAGGAAACGGAAGCCGAGTACTATCCTCTGAATTTAGACGTGATCTTGCAAAACGAGGCCCCCACGGATGCATATATAATAGTCTTGGGGATCAGTCCTAACTCAGATAATTTGATCAGTATCTCGATTATCTTACAAATCACTTTTAAAACAATTTAGCAGTTATAACTACAAATAGTATTGAGTTTCAAATTTCAATCTTTTATTTTTATCGTTCGCATGAATTTATGGCAAAGATCGACGATCGCGATCAAGTAAGACTTTCAGCATTTGCTCCCCGTTCGAATTTGAACAAATCACTAAACAATATGTAATGCCCTTCTTGTTCTCTATCATTCGAAAGGCTTCTACAGGGAAATTATTTTGTGAGATTGGAGTTTTTTGCACCAAGACTCAGCCCTTTGCATACGAACAACCGATATTTCCCAAATTTTACGACTAAACAAGACTACATTTCACAACATTATTAGTGCAAATCCCCGACGACGAACAAATTGTGTCCAACAATCTTTTTTAGGTAAAATCTACAATCAGCTAACTATTTTATTTTCGGCCAGCAACCGTATTAATTTCTTCGGTTTCTATACTTTGTTTTGGATTGAAGAAATTAAAAATATGTAGATTTTTAGACGTCAAAGGCCAACTTGATCAACATGGAGACGAGCCAAACTGGGCCTGAGACCGATGCTAGCGTCAGAGCTTGATAGGGGCATCTTAAAATGGTAAAAATTATGCTGGAAAAATGAGCGATGCCAGACAAATCATGTGCTGGTGGCATAAACGGATTTGTGCTCAACTATAAAAACGGCAACAAATCATCACAAGGTCACAATGTTTCGACTCCACATTCAAAAAACCGAGCTGCCAGCTTCACCAGGAAAAAATTCAAAGAGATGGAAAATCATAGTTTTTTACTTTCTAAAAACTTTACCATGCAATCACAGTTTGTGGTGATACGTTTTTCTTCAGCCGAACAAACTTCGATTCAATTGCTTTTTATTTATTCGATGTTAGTGAAAAACCGATCAGTTTGATTTAGGAATAGCTATGTAAGCTTTTGTAATAAGATTATGTTGGTTAGTGATGTTGATTTTGTTTGCAAATCTATTTTTTTTTCCCACCAACTCCGTTCTTCTTGTGTGAAGTGTAAATCTCATTTTATAAACAGAGCAGAAAACTATATTACTATTATTAATTATTTAATTCTATAATGTAGCACAATAGGACAAATTTCAGTGAAGTTAGCAGTATGAGTTATGTTGTCCTAAGCGAGTTAGACATGGCTAAATGGCGGGCCGAAGGGTTGGGTTAAGCCGACCCCCTAAATCAGTGTCGGGTCCATGGCCCGGCGGGCCGGGCCGGGCCCGACCAGGGTTTGGCTTGTTTTTTTTTAAAAAAAAGAAAAAAAATAGAAAATTCTAAACTTTTGGTTTTTTTTTTTTNTTATCATATTGGACGGTTTGTTATGAAGCCAACAGTTGGCTCCCTAGTGGAGTCAACATTCTATATACAACAAATAAACCTACCATATTAATAAAATTATATTAGTGTTATTTAAGTAATTAGAGAACATATTAGTTTTATTTGTTGTATGTAGAAGATTGACTCCACTATGGAGCCAACTGTTGGCTTCATAGCAAAACCGTCATTTTGGATTTTCCTGTTTTTATTTCATGTTTTCGGGAGGCTAGCACTCCTATTCACATGATCATCATGATGATCACGATAACCAGCATGCTAATTTTGGACCTTAACATTAACATTCCTTAAAAGATCTTTCTATTGGTTTTGTTAATCTTGGGCGAAGAAAACAATGTAAAATAAATTTCTGGATTTATTTTTTTCTTCCTGTTTTTCTTAGCATGACACAATGTTTTCCACTTGCCAGAATTCCCACAGGTCAAGATATATTTTCTTCATTTTCGCAGAATTCTCGCGCACTCTTGTGACTTAATTATTAAGCTTACAGTATTCTATAAACACAAAACCCTTTTCAGTCGCATATTTTACTTGATTTCTCACTCGATTGACAGACCCAAAAGTCGATTAGGCGAACATCGGCGGATCGCACTTGTGAGCGGCGGCAACCGTTGACTTCGGGCGGGTGGCGGCGGAGCTACTGCACGAAGTGACTGTCGGCAGGTAGGACTGACGGAGGTGGCATCTCAATTCTGTGATGGCCCGAGCAGCGAGAGGTATCGGATTTTCAGCACTGATTCAGGTTAACTTTGCATTTTCACTTGAAAAGCCCTAATATTTTCTATTTTTTTTTGAACGATTAATCAGAGATTAAAGGAAGAGGAGTCGAGGACTGAAGAGATAAAGGGGGAAGAGTCAATATCTGAAGAGAAGGTCGAACCTTGTGAGGAAGTTCCGCCGGCTGAGCTGGAAGGTGGAGGCGGTGGAGGAAAAAGTTGAAGCTTGGTTAGAAGAGCGACTTTCCACCTCATCTACTCTGTAAGTTTGGTCCCGTGGGGCTTTCTTCATCACTGTTCTTAACTGGTTACGAGGGTTAGTCTCTTCACCAACAATTCACTATTTTGTGGGTTTTCATATTTTTTTCGTGTGTAATCCTGTTCTAGGTACTTCTAATTTTAGGGCTCGTGTGAGGCGACTTTTGGTATCGGCCCCTTGAGTGTATCATAACCTTGACCTTCGCCGCAACCTAACCAGCATCAGTTGGGATCAACTCCAAAATGATGGATAGGTAAATTTTATGTCACTAATTTCGTGTCATTTGCTTTTCTTTTTTTATAGTCTGGTTCTCATTTTATATACGTCTAAATGGCAGTTTTGGCTCTTTATTGGGATGGGTTATTCTTTTCTTCTAATAGCAGTGTTGCATTGTTGAAGCTTGTAGAGATGGAGTACTATGATACAATGAGAAATGATTTTGTGTAGAACTCTTTAAGTCTTCTGTGAGTGATAACTTGTAAAATAGTTTCTTATCTTCGCTATTCCTCAGCTTTCAGCAGTAACTTGTGAATGAGATAAAAGATGATATTAACTAGGGTTGTGTAATTAGTCAAATGATATCTCTCACTGGAAAGGATTTTTTTAGGACTGTTGTTTGTAATCGCTGAACAGTTGGGATCTGTTTAATATATTTTAATTTTGTGTGTATTGTCGTAGTTATTTCATTAACTTATTGATTGAGAATAACTGCGCACTGTCGTACTGTGTGTTCGATGCTTTGGTTGCTGATTTTATGAGATCCTATGAGGACTCGAGAGTAATGCCTGCGATTTGCACACTTCTTGCATTTGCACAAAGGTTTGTTTTTTGGATTTTTTTGCCTTTTTCTCCTGTCTTTCTGCTCTCATGATTACTTATATCTTTAATTCATTTTTTATTGCTTCATGTTGAAACCATTTAGAATGCTTTCCTATCCTAAAACAAGGGTAATAAATGAAGGAAGAGAAAAAATGAAAAATCTAAAAGAGAAGAAAATGAGAGTACACTATATTATTTCTGATGTTTTTCTCATTGCAGTGTTGCTGGAGCTCATTTGTTCAAGTTTTGGTCAATGTATATAAATCGTTCTATAATTTTGACCCCAGAGGTACGTACTTTGTGATGGTGCACAATGCACTTCTTTTTTACCTGTTATGAACCAATATTTATGTTTGGCTGCATACAAATCCCTTAATATCATAAAATTACTTTGTAATGGTGGAGATGAGGACCAAAATTGATGCTGATGGTGCACAATGCACTTCTTTTTTACCTGTTATGAACCAGCATTTATGTTTTTCTCACACTATACGAGTGAAAATTTACATGTGTTCCTTTTTTTCCTTCCCTTTATCTTTCCCAAAATGTTGAATGACTTTGCTTCTTATACTGATTATGCTCAGGTACAAGAAGGAGTTGACAAAGGAGGACAAAACTAATTTCAACACTTTGGTTCATAGGCAAAGACATAAATTGGTAAGTTTGATGACCTATCTGTGACAACCAATTTTTTTGTACTTGATGATATAGTTAATAAATCCATCTACATTTTCTCGACACATCTGAAATATTAAGGGAGATGAATAACAGCCGTAACTTTGGGGAGAAGAGGATGATCCCATGTCATTTTATATCCTTCAAATTTTCCTTTGTAGCATAAACTTTTCATGTATGATCACTTTTCTAGAGGAATTTCACTTACACATAATGGCTAATGAGTGTAATTGTATACACTTCCTTTCTGATGTTCAACTTTGATGTAAGTCGAGTAATTACTGTAGAGCTCAATAATTTCAAGTAATTTGCAAACAGAGCTCTAAGCTCGAATCAAATCAGTTTCAGGCCCTCAGGTCAAACATCATGTTTTGTTCTCATGCTAAGCCATAATGGCCAATAAGGACGCAACACATGGTCCAGAAAACATAAGCCAAAAAAAAAAGAGAAACATAGGTGCGATTTTATAAGTAAACCTTGCCTATTACAAAGCAAACTAAAAGAAATTAAAAAAGGCTAGAAATAGAAATGCTCAAACATTTTTCTCAATCTTCCATGATTTTAACTATGTTGTTTTTGCTTTTTATGTCATATAGAAGCTATAGGCCGGAGGATTCGAATCTCCAGCAGTCCTTAAATCCAGGACCTGTTGGAAGCCTTACACAGCCAGCAGAACTTGAACTTGATGGCCACTCAAATGTACGATTTTTTTTTTTTTTTTTAAATGAGAAACACTGTATGTTTGAATTTTGTTCGCCCTCTGAATTGTTGCAACAATACTGATGATGAGATTGTGTCTCTCACTTATCTTCAGGCTTGTGCTATATATTCTTATTATCCATATTATGGAGAATGGTGGCAGCTTATGGCCAACCTATGGTAGGAACATTAACTGGAAATTTTCTGTTTCATTATTACCTAATTTGAGTCTCATCTTTCTCTTTTCGATTAGAATTATTGCAACCGCTTTTCTGGTTCAATTTGAACTGTCGGGTGATTCTCTAATTTTTTTTCTTCTGTTTCTTTTTTTTATAAAAAATAATCACCAAGGTCCCTCAGCTGTATGATTTGCATCAAGTGAGGATGCCACTGCCCCTGGAGATGGCACCGGAGCCAGTTTAAGTGAATGCCAAGCAATACCATGGTATACTGCGGAGGCGTCAATCGCGTGCCAAAGCCGAGCTGGAGAAGAAACTCATAAAATCTCGAAAGGTTTTTTTTTTTTTTCCTTTTAATCCGTAAATTTCCACTTGCACCTCGTGGATGAACTAATTAGTTTATATATATTCGACTTCTTGGGTATAAGAAACATTGGGATTGAAAAAATTAATTATGGAATTTTTGTCCCATATCAGAATGAGAAAGCAGTCCCTTGGAAATAGAACATTGAAGTGATATTTGAAAATTTCTCCCAATTGAGTCATGCATAATTAATCACTACCACAGTGACGTAACATTTAGCTTTCAAACATTCAATATTTTAGCTGCCATTGAAGTGTAACGTCCAGTTTTGACAGCTGCTGGCACAAGAATGTTTTTATTTATTTCTTTATTGATTTACTTTTGATGAATTTAATGTATATAGTTAGTTTGAGTGAGCTTTATTAATTCGTTAGAGGCCCAATATTATTTTACCTTTGTTGATGATACATAACTCCATGTGTTCATATTGCATATATAATTATGAAGGATTCAACATAAGAATTTTGTCCTTAGTTATTAGATGGCTTCGTCTCTTCATGTTGGAGACGTACCAGGTCTCTTGAGCATATGGTTTGGAGATAGGTCCGAGACTCAGAATAGAGGCTGATTCGTGAGAAGACAAAAGGACGATGGAGTCAGAAGCTGCATCTGAGAGGATAGAAATGGTGGTATGAATTCAGACAGAAGCCCATGGGAAAACAGTCAAACACATAAATTATGAAGGCGTAATTACCGAACTATCAATTGCCTCATGCATCTATTTTTTCTATTTTATGTTATTGTAGCACGAGTTAGGTGACATTTCCAATTTGAGATTGAATCAAAATGGAGAACACAAATGCTCGAACATACTGGCCATTACATATTTGGTTGGATGAGAAGTTAATTTTTAATGATGCGTTTGTCTTTCTGTTTTTATTTGCAAGGTGCCAAAGGTTTTTGTTTGCTTTAGGACAGAATGTGATTCTCAACATTCATCTTTCAGAAAATTAATAACTTTCACAATTTTGAAAATTACAATATTAATTATACCAAAAATTGGGTTTGGCTGTGCTGTGCACAGCCGTGTTCTAACTAGTTTAACTTATATGAAAATATTATACTTACCTAAAATGCGACACGCGGCCATGTATTGTGCGCCCTTTTCGCTTTTCCTTTCCTCCGCTTTCTTATTTGTTCTCGACTTTAAATGTTAAGAAAAACATTGGGGATATGTTCGTCATTTTCTGCTTTTGATTGGGGATATTTTTGGGGCAGCATCATTTTTTTTTATTTATTATTTTTTTGTTTGCTTCCGCTTTTCTTGTTTCTGCGGTTGTTAAAAACAATTCTTTTCGCTCGTTGTTTCGTTAATTATTGTGCAGTGTTCTTAGATTTTTCTTCTTCTGCGATGAAATGTGTTTGAATTTTTTTTGCTTGCGCCGGCGTTTCCTTGCCTCGGATGAAGCTTAGCATCCAACTATGTTTTCCCTTCGTTATTCATCTCATTGTGTTACATATTTTTTAGCTTCAAGTTATGTTGTTAGTTTTTTCCTTCCCTTTTATTTCTTTGTGCGACTTTTTAATTCATATGTTTTGTCATCTTATGGGTAAATGTGGGTAATTGGTATATTTTTTTTTTCCAATTTATGTTCTTTGTTGATTATGATTATGTGAAAATTGATGTTCTAGGATTTTCATCTCCCTTTTGCTATCGAGTGCTCTAATAATTTCTGGGTGACAGGTATATGCTTCTTTTATTTTCTTCTCTTTGGTGGTTTTGATTTAAAAATTGTCTTAGACAGTAGTTTTATATTTCCTGAAATTGATCATTTACCCTATGCTTTCCTATAAAGTTGCCTGTTTTAATGGTTGCCTGTTAAATATGTATTATGTGCAAATAATTACATTGATTTAGGGAGGCTATATTAGATGGCTGCCTATCATTGCCATGCTTTTTTTTTTCATTGGTTCTTCTTTTATTTTTATTTTACTTCATGATGTAACGTGTAGGTTTTTGTGATGATTATTTTTGACTTCAGGACATTGTTCACGTGTACCAATTTTTTTATTATTATTTTACTGACTGCTCATCCTCTTTCCATATTTTTTCTCTATTAATAACAGATTGTGTGCTTCATTTGCTTTTACTCATTTACTGCAACTCTGTAAGTTTTCCTTCTTCATGTCTTCCCTGCATTTATTTTTCCTTGCCTTTCCATTTAGCCTGCCGTTTTTTATATTTTTCCTGATCAGTTGTTCTCTTGTTCATGTTCTTTCTCTTCATTCAATGTGTTGTTTGTAAGGTTTGTTGTTGCTGCTCATTTAACGTGCTTTTTGTTATGTTTCATATTTAGAGAATTGCTTTTAATGTTTCACTGATGAGTTATTCCCTTTTTCAAGTTGTTTCTTTTCATTTAATGTGCTAGTCTTATTATTTAGTATGTATGTTCATTTAATGTTCTTTTCCTTGTGTTTGGTCTTTACAACATTGGGCTCTTTTCTCATCTGCATAGTTGGAGCTGTTCAAGTTCATTTACTTGTTCTTTTCTTCTTTTTTCTTTTTCTTTTAGTTTTAGTTTATGTACTTTCATCCTATTTGTATTTGCATTCTTTTTAAGTGTAGATGTTATGGTTTCTGGGGATGATTTTTTCATGTTTGTCATCGTGTTTGGTCCCTTTTCTTTCTTTCATGTCACTTGTCGAATACATATACTCTGATTTTTACTGCATGTCCCTTTTCTTTCTCACCAAACCTCATGTCCCTTTTCTTTCTACCAGACTTCATGTCCCTTTTGTTTCTCACAAGCCACAATTTTATATGGCTTAGTTATTTGTAAATATTGGTTCCTTTTCTTCTTTGCGGTTGTTGTTATTTCAGTGTAAAATTTTTGTCTTTCTTTTTCAGATAAACTTGTTTCAAATATATTAACATCCATTTCTGTTCTTGCTCTATTCATGTGTGTTTTGGGTTGCTTTTATTTAGGTGTGCTGAAGTGTTATGCAAGAAATAATCTGTAATATTTGACTTGCTGATTTATGTGTTTGATCATCAGGTTCTTCTACAAACCTTTCTACTTATTTAATATTGCAGAAAAGTCTTGTTCTATTTTAAATTGTTGGTGCATATATATTTGCTTGGCTCTTCTTTTCATTTGGTGATGAGGAAAAAAAGAAAATATGTAGAGATTGTCCTGCCAATGGGTGGGGATCTCCTTGCTAAGAAACAATATATACAAAAAGCTATAAGAAAGTGGAGATTAAAAAAACTGAAAAGGAATTTTACAGTCAATCATACAACTTATATGGACATTGAAGAGAATGTTGTGTTACCTGACATTAGTGCTCGAACTTTAGATGCATTTAGTCAAGAACGTAGGCAAAAATCGATTGAAAGATGGAAGGCGAAGAAAGATAGATCTCATATCAAACTTCTGTCACAGTTCTTAGTGATGTCAATGTGGTTAGACAACATTGTACAATTGAACCTATTCATGCAGTACAAAGAACTGGTCTGTATGATTGTCAGGCAGAGTCCAGTAATGCAGCCAATCTTAGAAAAAGGGTTAATGAAACATTAAATGATATGCGGGGAGAGAGACCTAATTGTAAGAAAAGTAAAAAAACACGTATAAAAGATGGTAGGCTCTAACTTACATCTATTCCTCTAGCGCATGCGGTTTTACGGAATGTCCCAAACTGTCCGCACTGTCTTGCAAAGAAATTTGAATATGAAACATATAACTTATGTTGTTTGGATGGAGATGTGTGTTTGGCTACTAATGATGCTCCTCTTATATTTCAAAAGCTGTACACATCTTCGTCATTAGAAGCAAACTTATTCAGGACTTGCATTCGAACAATCAATAATCATTTTGCTTTCACTTCCATGGGTGTGCACTATGATAAAGCTCTCAGTAAACGTAATAATGGAATTTATACATTCAGAGTGCAAGGTAAGATATACCATTTCATAGATGATTTCTTTGAATCTAAAAATCTTCACTTGTATTTTCGTGACACCGATACTGAAGTTGCAAACAGGCTGGAAGCATGCCCTCAATTGACAGAATCGTTAATTGAAAAAATCCTTACAGTTCTTCAATATAATCCATATGTAAAATTTTTGAGGAAGCTTAAGGATACACCTAATTTAAACGCAAGTCAGATTATATTAAAAACATTGCCTAATGTTGATCAAAGAGTTTTTAATCAACCAGAAGTTTCACAAGTGGCTGCACTATGGGTTGAGGATGAAGATATGATAAAACAAGTGAACGAAATATAATTGTGCATTCACATGGAGGACATTCTTACAATATAAGTTATTATTATGGTTGTTACGACCCTTTACAATATCTTCTGCTTTTCCCATTGGGAGAAGTTGGTTGGTACCAAGGTGTGAAGAAAAAAAGTAGTTTGCAAGGTAACAATGCAGAAGGTTCGGTTATAGACGTTGCTCCTCATTTAGCAATGGACTTAAATGAAATGTTAAGCACAGAGTTTGCTGGTTAGTAACATGTGTCCAATATTTTCAGTTTACTTTATTTTTCATATATTTTCATTGGTGATGAGTGGTTTTCAAAACTTTCAATTTTCTGTCTTTTTTCCCTGCTCTCCAGCTCAATCCATCCCACCAGATGATTTGAACTTTGTATCTGTTAAGGCATATTATTCGTACAAATTGCAAATTAGAGAAGGTGATAAATCATTTTTGCTGAGGTCTGGTAGACTTTTACAACAATATATAGTTGATATGTACGTTAAATTAGAATCACAGCTTCTAGATTTTTTGAGACTTCAACACAAGAGATTATAAATGAATATTTACAGGGAATCCAAGATGCATTAAGTTCAGGAGAAACTGAAGGTTCTAAAATAGGACAAAGAGTTTTCTTGCCAGCAAGCTTCATTGGAGGTCCAAGAAATATGAAAAGACGTTATATTGATGCAATGACTTTAGTACAAAAATATGGTAAGCCAGACATTTTCCTAACCATAACTTGTAATCCTAACTGGCCTGAAATAAAAAATCTTTTGTTGCGATCTGAAGAAATGCAGAACAGGCCAGATTTAGTTGCAAGAGCTTTTAATGCAAAGTTGGCAAAGTTAAAAGATGATTTATTTAAAAAATAATATTTTTGGTGAAGTAGCTGCATACACATATGTTATTGAATTTCAGAAAAGAGGGTTGCCCCATGCACATTTTCTCATTATTTTGCATCCATAGTTTAAGCTTTTTAGAAGTGAAGAATTCGATAGAATTGTGTGTGCTGAAATACCAAATAAACTTTCTCATCCTCATTTGTATGCCATGGTTAAGAAACATATGATGCATGGACCTTGTGGTGCACTAAATTTAACCAATTCATGCATGACAAAAAAGGGAAAGTGCCGGTTCGCATACCCTAAAACATTCTGTGAAGAAACAAGGCAAGTTTCGGGTGCTTTTCCTCAGTATCTTAGAAGAGAAAACAACATAAAAGTAAATGTCAAAGGTCAAGAATTGGATAATAGGTGGGTTGTTCCTTACAATCCATATTTGCTTGCGAAGTACAATCGTAATATACATGTCGAAATTTGCTCCACTATACATGCAGTGAAATATATTTATAAATATATATGTAAAGGTCATGATAGGATATATTTTCACCTTTCTTCTGACAAGCCAAATGAGAGTATTGATGAAATTAGACAGTATACGTCTGCTAGATGGGTTTTTCCTCCTGAAGCCGCTTGGAGAATATTTAGATTTTCAATGGGAGATATAAAACCTGCAGTTATTTATCTTCAGTGCCATTTACCTCATTATCAAAGGATTCATTTTAAAAGAAAGGATAAATTAAGAAATATTGTTAGAAATCCTTTGAATGACAGGACAATGTTAACACAATTTTTCTATATGAACAGAACTGATAAATATGCTCAAGAATTAAATTTGACTTATGCTAAATTTCCTAAATATTTTGTCTGGGTTACCAATGAAAAGAGATGGAAAAAGCGAGAGAGACAAGAATCAGTCGGTAAAATAGTGCTGCACATCCTTCTGAAGGCGAACGTTATTACCTTAGGTTGCTTTTATTGAAAGTGCGTTGTCCAAAATCCTTTGAAGATTTAAATTTATATAATGGTGTTATGGCTAAAACATTTCGTGAGGCTTCATTAAATAGAGGTCTCTTAAAAGATGATGATAGTCAATTTCTGTGTTTAGAAAAAGCTGTTCAATTTAAAATGCCCTATGAGCTTCGAAGGATTTTTGCTAATATTTTAGTTTATTCATGTCCAAAATAATCCTAGAGATTTATGGTTAAAGTTTGAATCGCATATGTCTGAAGATTTTAGTCGAGAACCATCACTTACGTCGGCACAAATAAGAACTCGAGTTCTAGGTCAGATTGTTTGCTTTTTAGAGTCCATAAGAAAGTCAATTAATTCTTTTGACCTTCTAACTGATGATGTCCCTCAACTGGATTCTACACATTTAACAAGAGAATTAACTGCAGAGAAAAATATAAGTGTCTCAGTCGAAGATTTAAATGCGATTCAATTATTAAATGACAGACAAAATTATGCATTTCGTTTAATTTCTACTCGTGTTTATAATAATGAAGCAGGAGCATTTTTTATAGATGGTCCTGGAAAAACAGGTAAATCGTTTCTTTATAGAGCTTTGTTAGAAGACATTAGATCAAAGGGATATATAGCTTTAGCAACAGCTACTTCCGGTATTGTTGCTTCTATTTTACCAGGTGGTAGAACAGCGCATTCAAGATTTAAGATACCTTTAGATATATCAAAAGAGGAAACTTGTAAAATAAGTAAACAGAGTAGTCTTGCAATATTATTGAGAGAGTATAAAATAATTATATGGGATGAGGCACCAATGGCTAAAAGATCAGCAATCGAATCACTAGACAAATTACTTAAAGATGATTTAGACTCAAATGAAATCTTAGGAGGGAAAGTCATAGTGTTTGGAGGTGATTTTAGACAAGTGTTGTCAGTTGTTCGTAGAGGAGGCAGGACTGAAACAATTGATGCTTGTTTAGTTAATTCACCACTATGGCCGCATCTACAAAAAATAGAACTAACAGAAAACATGCATGCTAAGTTAGACCCTGTATTTTCGAACTATTTGTTAAAAGTTGGTTACGGAGTCGAACCAACAGATTCAAATAATTTGATTCGGATACATACATTTATTAACACATTATCTATGGATGATGTTAATGATATTGATAAACTAATTAATGTTGTTTACCCAGATTTATGCCAATTAAATGATGAGGTACTTTCAATTAATCGCGCTATATTAAGTACAAGAAATAATTTTTTTGATGAAGTGAATAATGTACTCATAGATAGATTTCTAGGTGAAGCAATGGAATATTTCAGTTTTGGTGAGACTCGAAATCTTGTACATAGAGGTCAACATGAAGATATTATTAATTCATTAACACCAAGTGGTATGCTACCTCAGAAGTTAGTCTTGAAGAAAAATTGTCCGATAGTATTGCTCCGTAATTCAGATCCAACAGAAGGTTTATGTAATGGTACCAGGTTAAGGTGTAAAAATTTAACTCGAAATATTATACATGCAGAGATAATTGTAGGTGATTTTGCTGGCAAAAGAAGTTTTTATACATAATATACCATTGGAGCCACCAAGTGATAAGCAATATCCGGTGCCTTATGTTAGAACACAATTTCTTGTATGATTGTCGTTTGCAATGACGATCAACAAAGCTGTTGACCACCGACTTGGTAATATTCCAGATGTTCAAAAGTTGAATGGGATTATAGCTAAATTAACCACGGTGACGATAATTCCAATTCATTTACACAAGCTTAAAGGCGTTTTATTTACAAGAACGGAGCCGTTTGTGACATCGGAACAAACACTCCTTTATTACCGACGTGGCGAAATGTCAGCACCGACGTAGCAAACAACTTCGGCCATTACCGACTTCCCGGATTCTCTCTATCGACGTGATGGCGAACCTCGGATAGAACCAAATTCATCAATACCGAAGTAGGTGACGAAACATCTACGCGACGCCTTCGCGTTCCGTGCGCGACGCCATGATGATCGTGGGCCCAACTGTCATAACCGCCCAGTTAAATCTAATCCCGAATGATTGGTGAGTTCTCGAAAGACGTGTAATGAAAAAGTTACTATATATATAGACTGCAATTCCCTCAGCAGAGGGGGAGGAATCTGTTTTTTACTCTGTACAACACCACTTCGGTTACAAAGATACCGACCACATATTGATTAATAAAAATCCCAAATTACCACTATTTTACGTTCTGAATCATATAAGTCTACGTTAATTATGTTGTTACAAATCCATACGACAACAGTTTGGCGCCAGAGGAAGGGCCTCATAAGTATTTGAGGTTAATCTTCGACGTTCAGACGAAAACCACTACTCTGCTAACGTTATTTCCGCCACTCAGAACATGTCTCAATCGAGACAAGATCATCCCACAACCAGGGGAAGTGCAATCAATCCCAACCAACCCACAGGACGAGTCAATAACACTCTTGTGATACCAGATCTCGCGGCACTTCTTCAGAATCCAGAAGTTGCAAAAGGAATCACTGCTCTGTTAGCACAAGTTATTCCCAGTACGTCACAAGCTCTTCCAGGACCGCTTGTAAATCCAGTTGTACCCATCAGACAAGGAGTGCAACCGCTACCAGGAAACGATAACAATCGTGCCGCTTCACACGCTACTTCTCACCCTCAAGATAACAATCCACAAGGACCACCGACTGGAGTGGTACCCCCGCCAGAGGGAAATAATCTACAAGAAGCGATGGCCGAAAGTCATCCAAGGCATGCTCGGAGAGCTGCCGCTCCTGTTCAGCCGGTACCTCAACAACCTGATAATCCGTCTGACTTACGTCATCAGATTGTGATAAATCGTTTCAACAGACGTGAAAACTTGGAAACCGAGATGCTGAGAAGAAGGATTGTTGAACTCGAATTTGAAGCACGACGTGCTACTCAAATCCGACCACTGTCGAATTTTCTACCCTCAGAACCGGGTCACATGCACTTAGAAATTGAATCACTTTTAGCCTCCGAGCTGACTATGGGTCCTATACCT